GGATGGATTTATTTATCTCTATACTAGGACCCCAGGCAGCCTACAACATAGTTTTAAAAATGCACACAACCAATGAAACAATAACAGAGCAACTCATTGTTGTAGTGTATAGCATTAGGATTAGACACAAGTCTTTTCTGCCAGGCAGAACTCCCTCTGGCTGGTAGAAATCCCATCTGCCTGGTTATTTTACTGAAGTTTTGACAGAGCAATTTTCAGGCAGTATTGCTCTGCCAGCTAAGATACGATGTTAGAAGAACCAAAAATAAGTTGACATGGGGAGGGGAGGATATAAGTTTCAACATCCCTAAGGACATTATCACATGTGGGCCAGTTTCGTTGTTAAAGAGAAAATAAAGTGGAAATAAACCATCCCGAAATTAAAGTGAAAATAGAGGTTCATTACGCAAAAGGATTTCACACGTAATTACAGTAAAAGCGTAATTACAGTAAAAGCAGAAAAAAGACGTTTTTGACTTTCATACACAAGTGGAAAAAAACCCCATACATGTACTAGAAATGGGTGTGTTTTGTGATCTCCTTTTCCTGGGCAGGTCCTGCATTTCATTCAACCTTCTCCCCTCTCCAGGATGAAATGTCAAACTGTCCTCCATTTGGAGCAGGAGTAAGAAGCATGATTTCTGGGGGACATTTTGGAAATTCCTCCTGGACAGGTTGAAAAGGAGGGTGCCTGGTGTTTTGGGGGGAAGGAGAGGCGAATTAGGAAAGGGGTGAGGGAGGAGGATGAGGAGAAGCAAATGCCCCTTGGGGACTTGGGTTGCTGATCTTTTGTCTGGAGGAGGAGGAGGAGGAGGGAGTAATCGTGGAGCTCCTTGCCTTGCCTAGCCTGCCAGTGCTGTGCAGTGTGTGTGTTGTGTAGACGGATGTGTGTGGGGGAGCTGCATCCGAGAGGGAGGGAGGGAGGGAAGGAGGGGTTGGCAGCCACCAGTGGCTGCATCGCAGCCAGATCCTGGCAACACACACACACAGAGGGACAGAGCAGGTGGGGAAACCGGCTAAATATTGGGGATCTGGGGAGCAGGAAAGAGGCTTCCTGGGGCTAGGGGCAGAGGAAGCCAAAGGATGATGGTTTTCTTCATCCTTTGGTGAAGGAGAAAGTGGAGAATGTTTGACAGGCAAGCAAACCAGGAAGTGAAAGCAGCCCCAGAGGACCATGGGAAACGGGAAGAAGCCTTAAAGAAGATTTGTTTGTGCGAATTTGAATTTCACATTACTGTAAATGCACAATTACTGTAATTTCGCAAATGCATTTCCTCAAACTCCCAAAATTAAATAAATCTCAGATAATACCACTTTCTGTCCACTTTCTGACCAGTTTCTGTGCGACATCGTGTGAAATCGTGAGGCGCAAATTCGATTTTTGTTTGGGATTTGTGTGGAATAACCTACAGATTTCCCCCGTGTGATAACGTCCTAAGATGGGAGGGGTTTGGATTCAATACACTTACTGCTGGCCCACTGTCATTTTAGCTCAGTAGTTCCCAAACTTTGGTCCTCCAGGTGATTTGGACTTCAGCTCCCAGAAACCCCAGCCAACATGGCTAATAGTCAACAATTCTGGGAGTTAAAGTCCAAAACATCTGGAAGACCAAAGTTTGAGAATCACCAATTTAGCTGGTCCTTGATCATTCTTGCCGGTCTGAATAGCACTCATAAGAATGGCCCTAATGGGTCAAGAATTTGGACACCTTAGGCAATAAACAAGCAAACAAACATTATCTTCCTTAATAGAAAATTTCTTAATAAGCTGAGTTTTAGTGATGGTTGGGGGCCATCTGCCTGAAATTAAAAAAAAAAGTATTCATTGATCTATAGAACATTTCATATAAGAGCAAGAGCTCCTGATGCCACTATCTGCCTAGATATAAGGAAGTAGATTAGAAAATAGTGAATTTTGCATGAGTAGGAACAATGAAACCCACTGGGTGACCTTGGGCAAGTCACATGCACTCAATCTCAGGGGAAGGCAATGGCAAGCCTCCTCTGAACAAATCTAGGCAAGAAAACCCCATGATAGATTTCCCTTAGGGTTTCCATAAGTTGGAAACAACTTCAAGGCACACAGTAGCAGCATCAGGAACCACGGACAGCCTTCTCATGAGTTCAGTGTTATCACACCAAAGTTCTTCTAAAAGCCAGTATTATGCTTGTCTACTCATAAGGAAGTCCCATGTACTCAATGAGACTTACTTTGTAATAAATATACATGGAGCTATATTATCTGGCTGAAAATACAAAATCACTGTACATGTAATAGAAGTGGTTTGCACATACTTGAGGCCCTGAAAAAAAATGCATGAGAATGGTTTTGGGACAGGGAACCTGTTGCTCTCCAAATGTTTGAGGCTATGACATCCATAAACTCTGGACAGCACAGCTAGCGGTCAGGGATAGTGAGAATTGTAATCCAAAACATCTGGAGGGTATTAAGGTTGTCACTTCTCAAATGTATTGAAACCAGTTCCATTACATTTGAGGTGAAGATGGGCATGATATTATGAAAGTGACTAGCACACATATAGCCAAGAACAGTATCTGAACGTAACAAAAGTCAAGACTAATCTCATTTCACAGTGGTGTTCCTCCGCTCTCCCTGTGTGATAAAAATGTTCAGTTAAACAATGTGAAGCATAAAATGTAATTCCAACATGATCTGATTTGCAGCATTCAAAGATTTTTCAAATTGCTCTTTAGGTTAGGTAAACTGGGAATAAGACTAAACCACTGCTGTGCTAACTGAAACCAAAGACTGCTTTTTTGTGCAAGTACAACCCCTTAGAGTTAAACAAAAAATTGGCAATGATTATCTTTGAGTATCTGTATAGGCAAAGGGGCCTTACATGCGGCACAGGGCTTGTCTACAGGGCAAATAAAACAGTCCCACCTGGTTTTTAAAGTGAGCTGTCCACACAACATACAGTATGATTTGGGCCTTTTAATCACCATAGGGCTTTAATCAGGAGGAAAAAAAGTGGGGATTTAATCTGGATTTGAGTGCAAAATTAGGATATTAATGTTTGTGGACTGCACTCCATAGCAATGTCAGTGTGGTGCCAGGGTAGGATAAATTGTTGATGGACAAGACTGGTTGGGTCCAGCAAGCCTGATGTGTGTTGCCATGTTTTTTGTCTTCAGTTTATGTTCAGGCATGAGATAAGTGGTGAGGGGATCAGACTATCCCTTCCCCTTCTTTCCCCCGCCTGAATGTCACATGTGTTTTTGCTGTCTTTACTCTTCCCCTCCCTCTAATCCTTCCTCTGATCATTCACTCACTTGCTCATAGGGAGATCTCATACATTCCTGCATTCACTGAAGTAAAAACAAAGATGACACAATGCTGACTGGGTGTTGAGGAGTATTGGAAAGGTAGGAAGAGTAAAACAGTAAAAAAAAAAAAAAAAAGGACACTCAGGTTGGGGGAGGAGGAGGAGGGAGGAAGTAGCCTGATCTAACCTCCAATTGCTGATCTCATGGCTGAATATTTTCACAAATAAAAGATTAAAAATACAATTTTTGCTTTTCTCTCAACATCAGCTATGTCTGTTAAATTTTAAATTCCCTCACTCACTCAATGGGGTTGCAAAGGGAGAAAGAAAATTGGATGGGAGGCATCCAATTAAGAGTGGATCCAATAGATTGACAGGCAAACAATAAGGGCTATTGCCTGATAGATTGATGCATGTTGAATAAAGTTTACTTACTTGATGCATGTTAGGAGAGGGGGGGGGATGAGTTTGCCAGGGAGAAATGTGTGTCTGGTTATGCTGATGTCATCTTGCTATGTCTGTCAGTATGTGGTGTTAACGGGGTTGTTGTCACGTTATGGGGGATTGGAAAAATTCAAGGTGAGGTTGATTTCTTTGTTTTTTGGTCAGATGCACCCACAGATGAACAGAGATGGAAAATTCTCTGTGCAAGCAGGGACACTGATTAATGCAAGGTGAAAGAAATGCACAAATAGAACACACCAGCTCAAAACAAGGCTGGGAAGAAGTTAGACTGGGATTTTCTCTAAGATGGTTTGCAGTATTTTTTTGATTTTCAGCATCAACAACAAAACTGCTCCTCCTCCATCATTGCAAACATTAGGGTGCTGAGATGGAAAAAAACTTGGTTGTGAGGGGGATGGGAAGAGTCCATACATTTGGGTGATAGAACAGTAAACTCCTGGTAATGAACACAAATTCTTCTACTGAACATGTATCTCAGGAGTACTTTAGCTGTAGATAAACCTAATGGAAGTGGATGTCACTACATGGCACTTATGGTTGCTTCCAATGACTCTATGTATTCAGGAATGCTGTTTTTTAATTCAAAAAGTGAACTGATCTGGAGCTTGAAAAGTTCATCTCAGAAAATAATTTGTTCCTGTTATTCACTACAGAGTGAAACAAGCAATTACAGTTGTCCCTGTGGATTCACTGACTTCCCATTTCTTGGGTTTCTGCAGATGGGAAGCCAGGAGGTACAAAATGGCATGCACGTCCATGAAGCACACTGCCATTTTATTCAATAGGACTTGAAAATTTGCATTTTCCCAATTCGTGGGGTGTGTTTGTCCAGCACAGATCTCCCATGAATTGGGAGAGATGACTGTAGTTGCTTTTTAACATTCTTTAAAAGTAACTGATTGCATTGCTTGTTACTTATCAGGAAAAAAATGTTATGATTGATAAGAGAAAGGCATAAAAGCTGAACAACTCCACTCAAAAGGCCTCCAAAAACTGTCCGAAAAGGTAACTAGAAATCATAATCAGAAAGGCTGGTGGAACTGAGGATTTGAATCCAAAAAGAAAATGGATCTTAAAAGCCTAAAATCCCTCAACTAAAAGACAATGCTCTTTTTCCATATATGTAGCACATTAAAAATTCTAAGTCTGGAGAACATCAGCATGAGCATCCTCACAGCCCCAAATTTATTTTTAATGCTCCTCAGCAGACCTCCACTTACCCATATTTTGGACATACACATCTAAATGCCATTTGTGTAGTGGTAGTGGTTGGACTACAACTCTAGAGACCAGGGTTCAAGTCCCCGCTTGAGCATAAAAAACCACTGAGTGACATTGGGCAAGTCACACTCTCTCAACCTCAGAGGACGGCAATGGTAAACCCCCTCTGAAGAAACTTGTCAAGAAAATAATAATAATAATAATAATAATAATAATAATAATAATAATAATAATAATAATAATAATAATTTATATCCCTCCCCTCTTAGGATCGCCATAAGTCAAAAATGACTTGGAGGCACACAACAACAACAACAACAACAGAGTGTTATCCCATGTGCTGGACATTTGCAATGCTTGACTCAAACTGCTATCATTTGCCATGCATACTCACAAAATTTTGCACCTTTCTTGCAACATGCATGCATTAAATTCAAACTGAATATTGTAGCATGATGGGAGCTAAGAGCTAAATCAGGAGTAGGCAACCTTTCCCCTTTAAGGGCTGAGGGACTTCATTTCCCAGAATCCCAGAAGCTATTGGCCAACATGGGACTATTGACCAACATGGCTGAGGCTTCTGGGAGCTGAAGTCCCTCGGCCCTTAAAGGGGAAAGGTTGCCTACTCCTGAGCTAAATCATCAACCTTTCCCAGTGCTTGTGAATCTCTCTCCAACATGGAACTGCTGTTTGCTTTGGCAAACTTTTTCCTTTTAAAAATAAATAAATATCTATAAGCAAGACCTGATTTTGGTGCCTTGGCACATACAAGTTGCCATGGGAACTGCAAAGTTCTAGGTAACAGTTGATGCAACTCCTAATCCCTTTTAATGGAGATAAGTAGGAGCCCTACACTAAACAGAGGCATTGGTACATATCTATGGGAACAGCAGGGTGTCAGAGAGGAGTGTGAACCAGGCCTCTCATCTTCTCCAATGGTGAAGAGGCAGTGTTAATGTACATCATGCACCTTGTAGCGATGGCTCCATGTTTCCATGGAAACCAATGGCTTCTTTTGTCTTTGAATAGGCCTGGATCTTTGTTCCTAGGAGGGAATTTGACTGGCTGTGAAGTCATTTTTGGCAATCAGAACAGAAACCCTCCCAGCAGCCACTGTAGGAAGGAATAATTTGCTTACACATACAAGTATTCAAAAAACCCACCCACCCACAGAAGCAGCCCTTCGTCACATTCACCTGAACAATCAGCAAGGCAAAAATCATGGATGTGAATGCATCAATCTGCTGCTGATGCCTGGGGAAATAAGTTTAGAACATTCTGTTCAATGTCACTCACGCACAGATTGCATCTGTTCAAGCAATTTGCTCTTGTAAGCAACCGTGAAATCTCCCCTATAGTGAGTTATCAATGTTCCCTGGGTGGGCAGCCTGCTGATTAAACATATCGGCACCAGAAAGATGGCATAAAGGTCGGGTACTTTATGTTGGCATGATGAACTGGAAAATGAGACAGTCCGGTAAAAGGGGGTGTTTGTGTCCATCCCTCCAGCTGTTATCACAGTAGCTGCTGTTTGAACTTCTGTGGCTTCAAGCTGTATTTGTTCTCCAGTACCTGTCACTATTTATCCTTGTTGCTCTCCTTAGATTTGAGTTGTTGGGAATCCTGCTCTGCAAGCTTGACATTCAACATAGCCTGTCACAAAATTTGTAGAGTTCCTTTTAGAAAGCAGTTAGTAATAGCTATAGCCCAAGGACCGAAGAAGTAGCTGATAGTTCTTATTTGCATTTCTTAAAAAAAAAAAAAGCTAACTCTCTGCTTTCCAATTTCACAAAAGTACCTAAAGAGTTACCTATTTACATTATTATTATTATTATTATTTCTTACCCACCTCTCTTCATGGATCAAAGTTGGGAACAACAATAATTAACAGGCAAATAATATCAGTTAAAACACATCAGTTAAATTTCAATTTAAAAGGACAAATAAGATGTACAGTGATCCCTCCACATTTGCTGGGGTTAGGACTCCTGTGAAGGTGGAAAACCCACAAACAAAAAACCAAACACGATTGTTTTTATCTGGGATAACACCTCTCTAGGAATTTCCAGGTCATCCAGTGAAACTCTGTGTTCAACATTTGTCAGAAATTGATCATAGAATCATGCTGGACGACCTACAAATGCCTAGAGAAGAGTTTTCTCTAGGAACCTTTAGGTTTTCCAGTACAACTCTATGGTCAATTTTTGGCAGGGTTCTGCTGGAGGACCTAGAGATTCCTAGAGAGAACATATTAATCAAAACCGTAAATAATCAAATCTGCAAAAGTCAAAGCCACAAATGTTGAGGGCCAGATGTATACATATTTTAAAAATCCACATTTAAATTTATCATTTTATTTCATGGTCTCCAGAGTCATAGTTTGTGGAGTGAATATAAATAGAGAGGAGGAGTGTGTCATTTTACCCTGTGGGGTTAGCAGCCAAAGAGGCTGAGTGGGACTGCCATAGGTGCATTTTGAGGGGTTTTAGGGGTTATGCAGATGGGCGGCTCTGGGATGCCCCTGCTAGCCGCGGATTGGGGCTGCAGCAACCACAAGCCAAGGTCCTGATCCTCCCTTTTGCCACCCCTGAAAGAGCGGCAAAATGCCACTCCTTTCAGGGCAGCAAAAGGCCATCCTAAGAGCCAGCATGTGACTCTTTAGCTCCCTTTCCAGCTCAACGCATCAAAATACTGTGCCAGAAGGGCATCAGGACAGCGTGGGTGTGGGGTTGGGGCGACCAGCATGTGGCTGACCCACCTTATCTCTGCCTCCAGGCCAGCCCTAAGGGCTGGTCTGCAGAGGCCCTTTGTTACTCAGTTTAGGGACAAGAGAAGTCCAAAATTAAAGTGTATGTTGATTAAAGTGTATATCCTGTGGGATTACAGCTAGGAAGGCTGTGGAAAATATTAAGAGCCACCTAAGGAGTGGATGAGGTTAAGAGTGGTTAAGCTGAAGTACATAAAAAAGCTGTAAAAATAGTATTTTCCAAAACTGGTGGTTTGACAATTAAGTAACCCCAACATACATCTCTTTTGACCACATATGACGTTCTCTGTCCCTCCAGTGACAGCTCCCCAGCCCACCATTCTCTTTTGGACTTTATATAAACTGAACCAATTCCAACATAGTTCCCTGAAACCATTATCCTATAAGAAAAAAACATGCTTACTTTAGCTATCAAAAGTTCTTACATTCTTTCTCTCTATATCTACTTCTGCTCTTATTTCCCTCTTTCCTTACACTACTCTATGAACAGAGCCCATTCCTTTTCAATTTGCTGTATATCTTTATTATTCAGAAGACCTGTCAATTTGTCCATCTCTATCATTTCTGTGATTCTCAAGGTCCAGTCATCTAAAGTGGGTACTTCTGACTTTTCCATTTTTTCGCTATGCTCAATCTAGCTGCTGTAATCAAATATAACATTATCCGCCAATGCTTCTTTTCAAACTGTACTGGCAAGTTATTTAACATAATCAATAAATAAATTAATGGTAACGTTCTGAAATTGATTTTTAATATCCTTTCAATTGTTATATGTATCTGTTTACAAAATTTTGTCAGCTTTGGACAGCACCACCAAACATGAATCCAAGTTCCAATAGCAGATTTACATTTCCAGCAATTACTTGATTTGATGTTAGATATATGTTTGCCATTTTCTTTGGTGTTAGATGCCATCTCTGTTCCATCTTCCAGTAATTCTCTTTAAGACTTTGGGATTTAGTAAATAAGCTGGTTTTAGTTCTAGCTTCAGTTTACAACTGTCCAAACTCATACTTCTCCCACAATCTGAGGCCCATTTAATCATTTCTTCAGAAATTGGCTCTTCTTCTTGATCATAAACATTTATATATCTTTGAAACTCTTTTAGTCTCTGCAGTGAACCAAATCTTATCTAGTTCAGTTTCATCTTTTCTGTTTTCAGATCCATTGAGAATGTTTCTTTCAACTGTGTGTATAGTAACCAGTGCATTTTTGGATCTAAATATGATAACTCTTTCAAAGATTTCATTTCAAATTTATCCTCTACAGATCTGGTCAGCATAAGATTTGTAACTAATGAAGCAATTAAAACACTGTAACAAGCTTGAATAACATCCACTAAGAAAGATACAACAATAAGCTTTTTTTTTGTAAATAAATTTATTTCCTTTGTTTTCAACATGAAGTTGCTTGTTTTTAAAGATAACATCATACACTCTACCAAACATATTTAAAACTCTACCAAGAAAGAAAAGACCCTTTATTATTTAGGACACTTCAGATAGTAGGTGTGTAGCTATAAACTTACAATTGGTGCCATGCATTTGGGATTTTAAAACTCCGGAGTGCTGGCATTAGAAGAGAGCTCTAGTGTGGGAGTCACAAGTGAGAGATCTGAGTTCGAAGGTCTCCACACACAATTTGGTGGCTGCTGGTGAGATAGTTGCCAATTCATCACATAGTCCAACACTCAAACCACTACACCACAATTAATCAGGACTGTCCCTGTCCAATTGGAACAATTGGAGAGTATGGAAGGAGTAAGAATCTTTGCATAATTTCCCCTTTGGAACCCAGGAATGAGTGCAAAGCTTGTGCTGTGTTAATGAATTATGACCCTCCACCGAGGTGGGAAAACAGCACAAACTTTAAGTAATAAATAAATTAAGGTAGGGTACATACATGGTTGGTCTTTTGTCTTCCATTCAAGATAGCTAATTTAACAGTTAAGAAACATGCCAACAACTTTATTCCACAGAGAAGGCATAATTAATACAGAAAGTAGCATAAAGAATATTTGTCACATTATGACTGTAAAATGGAGGTTTTGAGAAACTTGGCAGAAGGATAAAATAAAAATGTTACATTTTGGAAAATGTATCCTTACGTATTTATTATCTTAACAGTAAGTTTTGGCATCTGTACATTTTTTTCACAAAAAGAGGAAAGTCTGACTTTACATCTGTTGCCTCTATCTCATAACTCAACTGGAAATCATTTCAATGCTTGTACTGAAGAGGTTAGTCTTCCATGTAAGCAGTGGGTCAGATGTTTGGGAGAACATATGTGAATGCCTTCTGGAGGAGTGCATTTGTCCTGGGACTCCA